GACTTATCACCTCCTGGCAGTCCCATCTCTTATTAATATTGCAGTGGCAGTTAAATTTCAACATGAATTTTGGAGGGGAGAAACATTCAAACCATGGCAGTTCTATCACTGAATCCTATTTAGGGGAGCTTTGCAACTTATTTGAGACAGAAGTATGTACTCATGGCCCCTAAGCACATGTGTTTGCAAGATATATTTTCAGGTATGGATTGTTTGTACTTAGGGACTTGTGGTGTTCAAATGATTTGAAGGTGTTGGCATTTCTTAAAGGTAACAAAAACATCACATGCTGTGGTCTTCCTGGTCGTAACATAATACTGACCTGCTCTCACTGTGACAAGTCTTGGGATGATTTACTAGAGAGAGGAATGTTGTGGGCTCAGCCTCCCACGTGTACCGAGCCCAGTGCTCTCCCATGACCAAGGGCAGGGATCCGAGAGCATCCCAGCCAGCTGTCCACTGCATCTTCTTCCCTTCCAAAATCTGAGTCCCTTTCCATTGTCAGAGCTCAAGAGCGGACATCTGACATTCTGAATTCTGCTCCAGGTTCTGCTTAGACTTATGAGTCAATCTTGTGCAAATTATTATAACAGCATCCTTGTTTATTTTTTTAAATCATTTTAGCTCTTTCTCTGTAAAAGGAGGACCTCACTAATCAATTTCTCAGCCATGAGATATAGATCAGCTCAAAAATGGTTCATGAAAATGATTTTAGGAAATGTAGTCATTCTTTAATGGTGCTTCTTTATTCTCCTTTTCTACTTGCAGAAACCTACTCTAATTCACTCTTCAGCCTAGACAGGATGCCCAGGGAATGACTAAATCTCCAGCAAATATCATCCCTGCCTTCAGCTACCCAAGAACACTTGTGCACACACCAGACAGGAAGTGGCAGGTGTTAGCACCTAACCAGAGCTTCCACACCAGCCCCAGCCTTCACCTTGCCTCTGCATAACCTACATCAGTTCCATCTCTCAGGACACTGACAGGTTACAATAAGACAGAGGCTTGTATCAAGTCTCAATCCTTCGGACTGCAAAAACTGTAGCATTAAATCAGAGAAATACCACTCAAAAGTTCTAAGCTATGTCATTCCTTTGCCCGTTAGGAAGGATATTTTTGTTGCTTTGTTTTCTGTTTCTGAACCCAGAGCAGTATCCCTCTGAGGAAAGAAAACACTGTGATGTTCACAGCTTGGAACTAAACATGCTCCTAATGCAGAGACAATCAACACTTGGCCTGAGAGGGCACTGTGATTTTAGTTGCCTGGGTTAAGTGTAGGGTAAATTCAAATCTTCCCTCTTTTCATGGAATAATTGCTAATGAACATAGTCATGTTCCAGTGTCATTTCTTTCATTTGCAAGTTGGCAGGAGCAAAGGAGGCAGCTTTCTTTAGAAATGATTAGGACATGTTTATTAGGGTGAGGTCATGGGTTTACAATGAAGTCATTTTCCCCCTTTACATTTATAATAATAGTGATGGGACACAGAATCTTGTAGCTGGCTCTCTGGCAGAAGGAAATGGAGTTTTCAGAGTTTGGGCTGCCTTCCCTGAGTGGAAGGCATACTTTCCCACACCCAAGGCTGTGGGGGGTGACAGCCTCCTCACTCCACATGCGTTTCTCTGTGAGTCAGGCCTCTGTGGGCCAAGACAGCTCAGAGCCCTAGCCAGCTCAGAGCTGAAGGCTTTACAACATGATAGAGGGAAAGATATTTTAAATTTAAATCCCCACTTGGATTTATTGTCACTTGGTCTGTGCTGAGCTAATAAGAGGAAGAGATATTCTTCAAAGAAATGGAAAATACACAGCCAACAATTTTGTGCTCCCTAAGAAAGAAAAATACCTTCCTGCTGGGGTTAGAAAAAGTTATCAGCTTCAGACCTTTAGGCAGGATTTAATTTCCCATATCATTATTTTTGCCTTCATAATCCTCATTTTTTAAGTTGTTATCTCTTCCCTATAAACAAAACATTTCCAACTCCACAGACTGCTTTTTGCCAAACTCTAAAAAATCTATAAGGTATTTAACATTCATCATGGGAGAAAAAATATTTACTGGAATTAGAACCATCAGGGGCCGGGGATTTAGCTCAGTGGTTTCGCCGCCTGCTGTGCAAGCGCAAGGACCCAAGTTTGATCCCCGGTACTAAAAAAAAAAAAAGAACCATCAGATTCTAGGTATTTTTGAAATTCTGTTGTTTCATTAAAGATGTTTCTACCTTGTCCTCAGCCTAAGATGGAGAAGTAATTAGAAGATTCCAGAAATGGGAATAAGACTGCCTTGTCATCCTGGCCATGGTGTTAACAAGTTGTTGGGCACTAAGCAAGTCACTTAACCTAGTTGAAGACCTGAATTATATACATATTAAGACTTCTAACAATTCAAATGCTTCTAAACAATTGGACATATACAAGAGCTGGTGTCACACATTTTAGAATTGCCCTTCTAGAATTTTCCTGAAATACATACTTTGAAATGAAAACTACCAGGCAAATGGCATCTCCTGCATTTAAGGCTTGAAATTTATGAAACCTTTGAATTATGCCTGAGAAATGCATAGGAATAGGCCCATTGTAAAGTCTCAGGGTACATATTTATATTCTGTATAAATATTTAAACAGAGAGTTTTGAACACCAGACAGTCATCATAGAAAGAGTAAGCTACAATATCATACAGCTTCCTACAGCACAAAAGCTCCGTGTTTCACAGTGTAAGTTCTGGAGCCAAATGGCTGGATTCAAATCTCTGTCCTGACACTTCTTAGCTCTGTGACCTTGGGAAGTTGACATAGCCTCTGTGCAAATGGGGCTAATTCCAGTGTCTACCTCATGTGGCTATTGTAGGGATTGAAGTAGATAGTATATTGGCACACATCATCAGCTTTCAATAAATGTTAGGTATTATTTTTATAAACAGAATTGGGTTAAAAATGAAGAACATGAGTTTAATATGTGGATTATTGATTTAAATCTTATGATTTTAAATCTAATCAGAAGAATTAAATAACAGTCAAGTATGGCCTTTGTTAGTTTCTGGGTCCCTTAGTTATTTATATGTCTACAAACTTTCTATAATGTGGAACTATTTAAGATTAGCTATAGCCTATTAGGTTCTTGCTACTTATATTCAGTTAATCAATAAGCAAATGGTAAGGACTTGACTAGCAGTTCTAAATGGTAGTTGAAAATGAAAGTCTTTGATCATAGATTTATTTTGAAATAAGATTGGAAGTATATATTATTTATATATCAAAGAAAGCACCTTCATTATAGAAAATATGCTCATTTTATTTTATTACACAACCACCCTTAACATTTTGTTATTTACTGCCAGTCTTTTTTCTGTACATAATATTTGTTCCATAATTGTAATCATGCAATTTTATATCCTGCTATTTTTGTTAACATTCTTTTTTTTTAACCTAAAGACTAGTGTTTGAATGACTTTAAGGGATCATTTTCCTTTTGTAAATAACTAGCTAAAAGTGATTTAGAATGACCAGAAAGGGTGGGAAAATATGTGAATGACTTCTCCACTGCAGTGGGAACCTGGATGGAAACCCTCTTTTTGGAAGCCAAAAAGGCAAAGTTCCATTTTTTTCTTGGCAAGATACTTTCTCAGACTCTAAGTGTCTTTGGGCTCTGTATTTTGGTAGCTTAGAATTAGCCTGGGAACACTTTCATGCCTGAATGATTTCAAAATTTCTCCCCTAATAACAAAGACTCCAATTTCTAGCATTCTGTCTTTCTCAAAGTCATACAAAGTGTGTGTGTGTGTGTGTGTGTGTGTGTAAGCACCTATCCCCAGTCCTTTTCCTTTGTCCCTCGCTCCTCAGTGTTTATTACAACTTTCAAAGAGAGTTTATGATTTGCAAGGTAATTTACAGGTTAAATGATGACCTCAATATCATGTTAGTATTTCCCTCAAACAGATAGCTGCCACTGTAACAAATACACATTGCATTTTATTCTCATCGCTTCTCTTTGGTGGAATATATGATGGGTTCTTCAGAGTCCTATATGCCATTGTTGCATCTACAACTAGACACAAACCTCCTAGGGTTTTTTTTTTTTCCATGGACTAGGCCAAACCCTAAAAGGAAAAATGTGTTTTTCCTTAAGGACCATGGGCTGTGGCTGTATGCAGAATAAATCTATGTTTTCTCGTCTGTTGGCACTTTGTATACGCTATTTTTACCCCAACTAATGGTGTAAGTCCCATCTGTTGGCCACCCCATGAAAACAGGATGTTTCAATTGGCAGATCATGTGGGAAAATTAGAAGTAAGTGTGATCTGGAAACTTAGAATCCTGCTTTAAAGCTAGATTTTTAACTTTAACTCTCTAAACACTTATGATAGCCATTGTTGAACTTTATCAACATGTTAGTTTCTAGGAAGACTGTGGAGATGAAAAATGACCAATCTTATGACAAAATGCTAGAAGGAAACCCTCTCTTTATAATTAAATTGGACTTGATCTTGCAAATTAGGCAATGCAAGGAGACTCAAGAAATGAGAGGCCTGTGGTGCAACTTGAATAAAAGTTGGAGTATCTTCTGTGACAACCACATCAGCTTCAGGCAACCCTGACCTGCTCTGATGGCACTTTCCATTGCTAACCTGAGACAACACTAGAAATTCTTCAAAGCACACTGAGAGTAGCTGGAAAATTTAAAGAGGACCTTACTAAAGGACTGGGATAGCAAAAAGAGAAAGCACTAACTGTGCCTTCCCTGTGGAGCTGGTCCACTTCCTTTCTTGCCAGCTGTGGGCTGCATCCATGTCTAGGCCAGGCTATCTTTCCCCCTTTTCCGGTGGGGACTGGAGCACACTGAGACTCCTGTGAGTCCAGACCTAACCACCTACTGAGTTCTGGGTCATGCCCTTGAACACGTGTTTTCCTGCATGTTTGGACAATGCTGGACAATGTCTCTCGACCCTGCAGGGGAGAAAGCCTCATTCACGGGCTATGACCTTTCCCATGGCCTTCCCATGATAAGCAGATCAGAATATTATATCCATTTCCTGATGGATGAACACAGTCAGTGGCAGGAAGTTCTTTTATTAGAAATGGTTATGACAATAATACGAGTTGTAGATATATTTAGAAAGTGGGCCAGTATTCCTGGATGCAACTCCAATAGAAGGAAAGGACTGTGGTATGGAATAAGATACATAAGGCTTCAATGTCTTTAACAGGGAGGCCCCTGGTACACTCATATGGCAGTTTACAGAAGGAGCTGCTGTTTCCTTGATTGCTGTTGTTTCTCCTGGAGTTGTGAGTCTGGTGGCTGCTATCCCAAGGCAGCTGGATCACAGCTGTGCTCCTCACCACAGGGTTCTTCTAAGCAAGGGCCCCAGGAGGGTCAACAGAAGAAAGGTCACTCTACTTGACAGAGTGGATTCATGCTTTGCCTGGATAGAAGGAAAAAGAACTTCAGTTGAGTTTCTCACAGGTTCTGGAGCCTGAGGAGTGTGTGTGTGTCTGTGTGTGTGTCTGTGTGTGTGTGTGTGTGTGTGTGTGATTACAAGCTGTCTCTCAACATTCCTTTTTCAAGCCCACGTTCCAGCACGCCATGTTCAACTCGGCTGCCAGGAACCTCTCAAGAGAAACAGCTGCTTGATGCCTCAAAGAGGAAATATTAAAAACTTGAGAGTGTTAGAATTTTAGAATCTGCAGGACTGATAATTTCCTCTCTGCTTATGAAAACAAACAGCACTAACGCCTCTCTTTTCCAGTGCAAATTTGGTTCCCAATTGGTTGTCTCCCAACCTCAGTTCTATCAAGGAGGTGAAGATAATCCTGAGTAACGGGTAATGGATTTAGAGATGCAGCTGATAAGAACTGTCCTTGATACAAACATAGAGACCACATGCCTTCTGCTTGAGACTAGGAAGCTTAAAGTCTCACTGTTGAGGCATCACCAATTTGGAATCATTAGTTTTTAACTTAGAGTAATTGATTGCCCCATGGTTCTTTAGTATGGCAAGTTACTAAACTGACAATATAATCCATAATAACTCAAGGGATTTTCTTTTCTTTCAGAATATATGTTAGTGATAGAGGGATGGAGTGTGTTGTTTGGGGTTTTTTTTCAAGCTTGAGAAAAGAATTAAACTACGAGGCATCTTACTGTGCATATATGTTTATGATTGTCATCTCTTCTTCTTGGAATGTTCCCTTTACAAGGATGTAGTGTCCTTCTTTGTCTCTCTTAACCAGTGTTGGTTTGAAATCCACTTGATCTGCAAAGAGGATAGCTACTCCTGCTTTTTTTCAGGTTCCTGTTGCATGGAGTATTGTTTTCCACCCTTTAACTTTCAGACTATGAGTTTCTTTTTGAATTAAGTGTGTTTCTTCTATGCAGCATATTGTTGGATCTTGCTTCTTGATCCATTCTGACAGTCTATTTCTTTTGACTGGTGAATTGAGACCATTAACAATGACGGTTATAACTGATACGTATTGACTTATCATTGTCATGACTTTTCCTTTTTGTTGGATTCTCCCCTTTTGCTTTAATTTCTTTTCATACCCAATGGATTCATTCTGTTGGACTACCTGGGGCTGTGATCCTCATTGTCTTTTTTTTCTAAAATTTTTTGGAGTGCTTGTTTGGTATTCATGAAGTTCCTAAGGTGCTCTTTGTCATGAAAGTATCTTATTTCTCCATCAGTTTTGAAAAATAGTTTTTCAGGGTACATCAATCTGGGTTGGAGGCTATTTTCCTTTAGGGCTTGAAATATGTCACTCCAAGCTCTTCTTCCCTTGAGGGTTTGTATTGAGAAGTCTGCTGTGATTCTGATGGGCTTTCCTTTGTACGTGATTTGTTTCTTTTCTCTCACTGCTTGTAGAATTTTGTTCTTCTGTTGGGTTTCTGGAATCTTAACAATTATATGTCTATGTGTAGATTTTTATTGATCAAGGCTAGTTGGAGTCCTATATGCCTCACTTATCTGTATGTTAAGTTCTTTTCCCCTGCCTGGGAAGTTTTCTGCCATCACTTCTGTGAACAGTTTTTTATGTCATCTGCACTCTCTCCTGTTTCTTCATTGACTCCGATCAGTCTTATGTTATTCTTCTTTGCATCGTCTAGCAGCTGCTGGATTGATTTCTTGCGGTCCCTTACTATTTTAAAGAAATTTTTCTTTTCCCGATCACTAATTGCAATCTTATCTTCTATATCTGAAATTCTGTTCTCACACTGGCTCATTCTGCTGCATAAACTTTCAATGGAGTTTTTAATCTCCTAGAAATCTGTTTGCATCTGCTTTGTGGATTCCATTTGTTTCCTGTGTTGGGATTCCATCATGTTCCTCAGCTCCTCTATTTTCTTTATCTGTGTCCTCTCTAGATTTATTGATCATGTCTTGCACTGTGGTCACAATCTCTGCTGTTATCTGAGAAATTATTTCTGATTTCATTTTTTCCAGATCCTCTTTTGTTGCCAGTTCAGGGAGTCCAGGTGGTTGAGTATCAGATTGTTCCATCTCATTTCCCTTTGGGGTTGCTTTAGGTGATCTGTGAATCTGGTTTTGAGACTTGTTCAAGTGTCTTCTCATTTCAGCAGGGGCAGCGAGGGGGCATGTGTGCTGCTGGTGCCCATGCAGCTCTACTCCTCGGGACTGGGGGTGTTGGTATGGCAGCCTGGAAAGTTCACCTCTCCTGCACTGGGGGCAGCTCTGTGCCTCTGTCTTGGGGGCAGTGGTACAGCAGCCCAGAAAGTTTATCTTCTTTGCACTGGGGACAGCTCTGCTCCTCAGTGCTGGGGTGGTGGTATGGCGGCCTGGAAGGTTCACCCTGTGGTGCTTTCTTATGGTAGCTCTGAAGTCATTTTCTCTCTCCTCTCTCTCTCCTCTCTCTCTCTCTCTCTCTCTCTCTCTCTCTCTCTCTCTCTCTCTTCTATTTGCCTGGCTCAGTTGCACCCACCCAGGTTTTCTTCATCAGAACTTTGACTTTTGATAACACATCTGCCTTGCTGAGCTTTCAAACAGCTCTTGAACTCAGTTTTTAGAAGTTTCAGTTCATAGTTGGCTGGCTCCAAGGTAGGGTGGCATGGCAGAGGGAAATCTTGGAGTAGAAGACAAGCAGCAGCAGCAGCAGCAACAGCAAAAAGCAAAAAGTGACAAGCAACACCTATCCATGCATGTGTGTGCTCATATCCCCCTCTCTCTCCCTCTCCTCCCCTTTTCCTCTCTCTCTTCCTTTCTCATTTTCATCCTCCCTCCCTAGGTTACTCAGATATCCCTGAGAGTTGACAAGACAGTGAAATCAGAAGCAAGAGCTAACAGGATATGTATAGCTATAGATAAGTAGATATCTTTTCATTATTATTTCCCTTATCATCATTCAATTCATGCATTTTCCTTTGGATGTACTTCTTTAAAACAAACAGCAGTCTTTCCTGGATGTTGAAAATGACCTATGATAGCATCAATACTAATAATTTGTGCTTTTTCTCACATTTTTCAATAAAGGTGTTAGTTCTTCATCACTAGCTTTTAGTCCAAAATACAAAAGGATTTTCATTCCTCCTAAATATTTGCAAATCTGATAGACATTGAGAAATAAAATTCTATAGTAAAAAAGAAAATATTATAAGGAAATGATCATTTTATTGCAGCCATGGTCAGGTTTGTAACATATCTGATATGTTTATAAAATAACAGATAAAAGCTCTTTAGCCTCCAAAGTATTATGAATACTTTTCTAATGAAAAAATAAATTTTCTCAAAAACAAAATGATTTATAAATTTAAGTAAAAGTTTGCACTACCCCATGTTTATTAGTCCCCAAAGAATATCACACTTTTTATTCTATTACACATTGAATAAATATTTTGGAGTCCTTCCTGTATATCTATCCTAAGTCCTGTCCTAAAAGTCTGGAATGTAGATGGCCCTTGCTCTCAAGAAGTTGACAGTCTACTGGGGAGACAAATTATTAGTTCCAACATAATACTACTGAAAATAGGGGAAAAGGCCAAGGAGTATATGTCCCTGGAGACAGAATGTTTACTGAATTTTTCATCATTCTCAGTCTAGTTTCTCAGACTCAGAAACTTTTGCATAGATTGTCTCTCAGAAGTGGACTCACATTGGCCAAATGAAAGGTTTTCTGTTTTTCATTTTGTAGTACTAAGGATTGAACCCAGGGCCTTAAGCATGTTAGGCAAGTGCTCCTTGACTGAGCTACATCCCTAGACCTTGGCTAAATAATTTTGAATAATTAATAGTAAAGCCAAAGGCCAATTTATTAATTTGTACAGAGAAGTAGATTCTGCCTAAGAATTATGACTGTTAAGTCTGATGGCCAGCATACCATAAGCAGCCAAACAAGAGCTAAATTATAGTCATAAGATTTCTTGGTGAGCATGAAATAGAAGAAATTAATGTCTGATGAAAGATCATGAGAAATGTAATGATTCCAGATGGAAGGCATGATGCTCTAGTGAGACAGGTCCCAGCCGTGGGCAAGCACACTTTCTGCAATGGGCTTGGAGTGCCTGCACGGGCATAGCCAAGGCTGGGATTATACTAGCTGGTATCACAGGTATGACCATCCTAGGGGTCTCTAATCTGGGTTTGGGGGGAACTAAAGTTGATGCAATTTTGTGGGACCTCAAAATGGAACAATAAACTTTATGAATAAAAAGCAGTTATGAAAGTAAATATTTATTTGAGTTTCCCATGTAAGCAGAGGCCCATTAATTTCATAGAAAATCTACCTCTGCAATGCAATTATTAAACTTGGAAATAGTCTCATTCTAGTTAATAAAATAGTGTCACCGTGGAAACTCCTAGATCTCCCCAGATTCCAACAGTAGAAGAATTAAAGCCTACAGCTATAGTATTTGTGATCAAAGTGACTGGCTAATAGGTCTCTCTTTTTAAGGTGCTCTGATAAGAGACATGAAGTACTGATTTTGCCACTTAATGCTTAGAGTTAATTATGCATTTTGAGTTATTGACAGAAACTTCGGGGTAACCCCTAAATAGTAACAATATGCTTTTTTAAATCCTCTGAACTGCCAAATAATGGGCCAAATAATGGAGCTAAGAAGCCTTCATCTCTTATGCAATACTCCCTTCTAGATCATTCCCAACAAGAGCCCCTAAGGAAGAAGCCCAGTGACGGGAGCAACCAGCAACAGTCACAGCACAACCTCCTGCAAGACTAGAATGGGGCATTTTCCTGTTTGTTTCTTTGCTTGTTTGTTTGTTTGTTCGATACCGGGGATCAAACTTGGGTCCTTGAGCTTGCGCAGCAGGTGGCGAAACCACTGAGCTAAATCCCTGGCTCTGTTTGTTTGTTTTAATGCAAGAGCCAGTACTAAGCTTTCCCCAGGGAAAAGTTGAGACATATTATTAAAAGAAGAATGAACCCTTCATGAACAATAACCAGCAAATGCATCCTGAAAAATTGGGGAACATAAAATTTCAAATTCATGCCATAAGTGTACCAATCCTCCAATCTATTTCATCCAGATATAGGTACATTTGGAGCAGGAAAATATTGTATCCTTGTTTGGAGCTTTCTGTTTTGTTTTTAAGAAGGAGTTTCTATATTTGACTATAGAATATTGTTTCCCACAAATTCATCATCAGATTAATGTAGTTTTTCACTTTGGAACACTTGCAACATTTTCAATTTCAAGTAAAAAAAAAAAACAGTTCAGAAAACCAGTCACTTTCCCCACGAGTGTCAGGAGATTGGTTTGGCACTAAAGCAGCTCCACATAATTCATAGCGGTGGTTCCCAAAGGAGAAAATGTACAAAGGACACTAGAGAAAATCTGGTTCTTGTCGAAGCTGTGAAGTATTGATAGAACTATCTTCTGACAGTCAGGGACAACCGCTAGGGACGTTCAAAGCAAGCAAGACTACACTGTCTTCTGCTGCATCCTGTCATTTTAAACTAATTTGTATAAGATCTATAATTAGGACTCAGTGTTTCACATAATGAAAAATCATGCTATATGGTCCATAAATATTTACCAATTGACTTAGTACAGACCTGGCTCACAGTAATGGTTTGATGAATGATTAATGACAAAATGACTGAAGGAATGATTAAATAAGAAAGCCACCAAAATAACTTTCTCCTTCTCAAGGCTCACAGACAGAAAAAATAAATTTACATTTTTTTACTGATTGCCTAGCAGAAAGAATACAGGTCCTGGGGCAGTAGATGTTAACTCTACTAAATATGGCTGGCAGTATGGCTTCCATGGAAGAGAAGCAGCTTATTGGAATGAATTCTTAGTGCAAAGACTGCAGACATGAGTGCATGTGTCCATGTGTGTGGGTTTGTGTGTGCATGTGTGTATAGATACACACATGTGAGGTGATGGAGTGACCTAAAAGAATTTGTGAATACCATTTCAGAGTTACGAAGGTCTCATGTGTGATCTCCAGCTAGTAGTTCAAGGCCCCTAGGGGGCATCAAGGTATGGTGGGAAAAGTACAGACTTAGGATCCAAACAGGGGCACCAAACTGGGGCTTACCAGCCATTTGACCTTGACCAAGTTACCTTACATGCCTGAGCTTCAGTTAACTCATCCTTAAAGCAATGATAGTAGTATTTTCCTCTCCAGGTTGTTACAGAGAAACAAGTAATGACAGGTAACACTAACTGTGTGCCAGGTACTGTTCTAAGGACTTTATACATTATCTCATTTTAACCTCACAAGAGATGTATGAGACAAGAACTTCTCTTTGCAAATGAGAGAAACTGAGGTAGCCAGCTATGACATAATTGCCCAAGGTATATAGAATAGTGTCTATGCACAGCAGATTCTCAATAAATAATGATGAGCATTACTTATTATTACAGTCCTAAGTGCTTTATTTTCATTATCTCATTTGATCGTCAGAACAAATATATGTACTTTCTTTTTTTTTTTTTTTGGTACTGGGGTTCAAACTAGGGACCTTGCGCTTGCCAGGCAGGTGGCGGAACCACTGAGCTAAATCCCTGGCCCAAATATTTGTGCTTTCAATGGTGTCTGTTATATAGCAGGCATTTGCTGAATCTTTCTTTAATGAATGAGCGCATCTTTACTGTGCAGAAGAATTAAATGAGGCTTAGAAAATTACCTTGCCCAGTTGCACAGCCAGAATAGGAACCCACAAATAAATTCCTTTACCTTGCCAGTCATTCATTCATCTCCCAGGAATCAGAGAGAAGAAGGACTTGGTTGGAGGGTTTGGAACACACAAAATGCCCGGGCACATGAAAATCATCTCAAGCAGCTAAGACAGAACACTTTTAGGGTTATTCCAAAACTGTGGAATCAGACAGCTTTCTTTTTTCTTGCTCTGTCTTTTTCATCTCCCTCTTGATATCTTCCCTAGCCCCTAAATTTTTTTCTCTGCCTCCTCTGATTTCTAATTTTGGCTAACAGAGAGAAAAATATTAGAAATTATGCTCTGAACTATCCATCATTTAGCTAAGACTTCTTAAGGGTTCTTAAGTAATCAGCCATTTGAGGTTTAGGATTGTATTTGAGGGAAGAGGTCTGTAATGAGACAAGTGAAGAAGTATGCTATCCATTTTAATATAATTTTCACATGCTGCAAATAACAGGATCCAAAAAACCTCAGTCTTTAAAGAAAACTGGCTTTGAAAAAAGAATGAAATGTTTCTCAACATATTATACATTGGCCAGTAATTGAATATGCATATTGAATTAAGTACCTTTATTTGAACCATTTCTGTATTATTAAGTGGACAAAATATCTGAAAACTATTTCTTTAATTTAGAATTCGAACTTTAATGGGTGTTTGTTACCAGCTTGGTGGATCAATTGTTAAATTCTATCATTCTTAATGTTGCAGGACATTGATGTAATTAAGCTTAGATAAAAGCTAAAATTAAAAAGAGAGAGAGAAAGAATAGCCCGTTACCAAATATTAAACAGCTTTGGTAACTTCATGCCAGTCTGTGAAGGACATCCGTGCCTTGTCACAACAAGGAATTGTTCACAATGTGTGCCTAGCATATAGATTGCATCCTTTCCTTGAAACAATAAAAGAGTCTTGCTTAGTACCATAGGAAATAAATAGGGAGGCAAAATTTAAAGGGAATTTTAAAAGACCAACCAGTAGGCCTCTATAATAATTGCTTGTCACCATAACACCAAGTAGCTCATCCTTTTAAGGACTCATTATGTGGCTTGGGCGTTATGTTCTATGGATGGAAAGAAAATGCAGTAATTCACAGAAATGTAATGACAGGATTTCACTGGTTTACTTAATAGTATTGACTAGACAGGAGAATTATGGCTTCCAAGCAAAGAGTGATTCTTATATTTGGAATTGTTTTGCTGCCTTTTTGCCCAATCAGAATTTTTTTTCTTCCTAAAACTGTCAATACCCTTGAAAAATATCAAAGAGATAACTGCTAGTTTTTTTATCTGACTGTAAGAGTAAACAATTTCCACATTCTTGCCCAATTACTTGCTTAGTGAAACCTCCACTGTTGCTAGGAGGAATTCAGGAAGAGATGCTATGCTTTAGTGCCCCTTGCTGGTCAACCCGAAGAAAATCAGAGCAGAACACTTGCCAGATCCCAGGTTTCCATAATTGGAGTGGCACGTTCTATTTCTATGGGAAGGAAGCCAAGCTGATTTAACCTACACATCTGTAGCTAGTATTAAGAATCATTACAAGGATGAGATGGGCCTTTGTTAAGAGTAACTACCTCCATAAAGGATGAGATGGTGCATTTGGAAAGACACATATCCTCTAAGAGAGGAAAAAGTGGAATATGAAGAAAATTTACATGTTAAGTCTTAGCCTAACTTCTGAATAATTCCTGGTAAATACTTGCCTATGAAAGCACCCTGTTGATGTAACCTACTCTCCCTAGACCTAGAGTATGATTTTGCTTGGTTAAGCCTTCAAAAATGTGTCTTTAGCCATAAGGGAAACAAAAGATACAAAAAAAAAATCCTCAGTGGGATTCTCAAAGTCCAAAAAAATACAAAAACTTCTTTCAACAAAGGAAGAAGTATATCACCAATAGTGTATTAGATAATTAACAATTACATTGTAACCTATACCAAGTAAATTTTGGTGAAATTTTTGCTCTTTGTCGCTTCTTTTAGGCTGTGGCTTTGTCACTTTCTTGTTACTGAGAAATACCCAACATCCACAATTTAAAGGAGAGGTTTATTTTAGCTCATGCTTCAGACCATGGTTGGCTGGTTCCAAGGCAGGATGGCATAACACAGAGATCTGGCAGAGGAATAGCTGCTTACCTCATGGCAGATGGGAAGCAGAAAGTCAAAGGAGAAGTCTAGAAGGGAGATATAACCTTTTGGGTCATACACGCAGTGATCAGCCTCTTCTAATCAGGCTCCACTTCCTAACCAGAAGTCAGCTATAATGACCCTATAATCCAATCACTTTCCAAAATTCCCATCTATGATCACATGAGGCTTTAAGGAGACATCTAGATATAAACTATAATAGTCTGTGACTAATTTAAAACAGGTTTATCTTCCTCTTCTTACAAGGACATTAGTCCTATAGGGTTAGGGTCCCATCCTTAGGACATTTCTTAACAGTATTTACATCCATAAAACCCTATTTCCAAATACAGTCACATTGCTATTTAGGTTTTTAAAATATTAATCAGGAGGGCATAATTCAGTCTATAATATCCACTTATCTGAAATGTTGAAAAGAGGCAAATTTATAAAGATGAAAAATAGATTAGTGGTCACCAGGCTTGGGAAGATGGGCAAATTGACAGTGACAATCAAGGGACATAGAGGTTTCTTTTTGAGTGATAAAAATGTCCTGAGGTTGATTGTGAAAATCGTTGCACATCTCTGTGATCATACTAGAAGTCACTAAATTGTACATTTTTAAACAAGTAAATTGTATGCTATGTGAATTATACATGAATAAAGCTGGTACAAAATATAAAAGAGATGTCACTGGTAGTCTTTAAAAGATACCAAGATTCTTCTCGTGAATGTGGAGTTCAGAGCCATGACCTTATACACAGAGGCTTTCTGGACAGAAGGGCAGGTATCAGATCAAGGCACTGCTTAGGCCTTCACTGGCTGCAGCCTTATCTTGCATCTGAGTCACAAAGGGCCAGCCTGGAGCTCCTAAAACTCCTGTCCAAGGTCAGCATTCATCTTTAGCAACAGAAGAATGACGTCCAAGACTGGAGACAAGACAGTTGCTGAGGACATGATACTAACTTCCCTCCTACATTCTTTAGAATTAGAATGGTAGACATTAATGAGCATGTAGTTTTTGCATACTTTTTTCTCATAAGCTCTGGATTTTCAAAGCATAAGTCAACCAAACTGCAATTATTAAGCACATATGCTGCATTATCACCATTGGTGTATTTATTAATCTGCTCCACAGGACTTCAAGAACCTGAAAGAGAGGAACTATACTTTATATCTGCATTTCCAGCCCTTGCCCACTGTCAGGCATATAGGAAAGGCTCCACAGATGCTAGTTAAATAAATAAATAAATGAGTACTTGACTTTTTTATGTTTAACTTGTTAGAAGGCACAGAACTTCTTGCTTATTCAACACTGAACTACATTCAGAACTAGCAAAATACGAGTCCTAACTAAAGCATTTATTTCTTCCAGAGTTGGCATAGTAATGATGACAGCTTAACATTTATTGCACAATTCTAATTAGACTCCACACTATCCAATTTACATTCATTATTTCATGTATCCCTTGCAATAAACCTAAATGAGTATTTTTATTACCCCCATTGTATAGATGTGGAAATTGAGGCCCACAGACATTAAGTGACTTGTGCAGAGTCACAGAGATAATAGCAGTGGAGCCATCATTCAAATCTTGGGAACTAGAAGCCTGCACTCTGACCACCTATATCATCATGACTTCTCAATATTCTATTTGCCAGTGTACCCTTGTCAGAAAGAAATGGGAAAAGAAGGCATAGTTATGGCTCCATATATGACTTTCAAGTCCTGTCTCAAGGTTTCTTGGCTTTCAAGGTTAGCAAATAAATCCCTGCCTGGGTTCAAAATCACACATAGCTTCTTCGAACTTCTGCTCCATCATCCTGAGCTTTCTTTACTCCATAAGCCAAACTTACTGCCAAGCAGTCCTTTACACTGAGTAGGAGTCCATGAAAAGACCCACAGAAAGACTAGATGGGCTTCTTCCCCTTGGCCATAAACTCAGTCCCAAATCAACCCAAACCAAAAGGCTTTTCAGGTTGCTTTCACTCTCCACTGCCTCTGTTTCCACAGTCTCCATGTTGTCCTCTTCATTCCCCTTTCGACTGCGCCTCACAGAGTTCTGCACAAAGGGAACCCTCAGTATGAGTTCTATACTTACCTTGATGGAACATTCTGACATTTCAGGATGCCAAGATTGGCTGGAGGTGTTTCAAAAAGGCATGCATCACATGTCCTCTAAGTGGTTATAAGGGATTCAGCAGCTTTCATGTTGACCTCAACAAACAAAACCAAGTGTTTGCTCATTTTATGGTTTCTATGTCCCAAAGCAAACAGCGTGGTATTTTTCTACTTTTTTTTCACATCCATTACCTCATCCGTGTATGCTATGACTGGACAGCACTCAAAGATCCTTGTCTATGAGAGGCCAGGGGTAGAGGGTGAGATGTTCCTGCTCAAAGTAGGAGCACCTGCTGATTGGAGAGCCTGGAGCCATTGTAAGACCAGTGCCTCCTACTGGAAAAGTTAAACTGGGTCCAAAGCTCCTATTCATACTCAGAGCAGCCAGGGTATCTAGGACTAAGGCAAAATTCTACAAAAAAACTTAGGATAGATGTGTCCCACCTATGGCACGCAGGCTAGATATGCCTGCATTATACTAAAAATATAGAAGAAATAAAAGAAATTTTGTTATTTATACACATGAACTATATTGTATGCTTTACCTGTGGCCCAAGAGAGTTCCTCCCAGCTCAGTGCAGCCTAGGCAAGCCAGTTGTGTGCAACCTGCAGGTCAAATTGGGGTTCGTAATGTTGTGGTACCGTCCTCAAACACACTGTCCTTCCAATGAACTGCAAGGGCAGAGAACAACAAAATCCAGACATCACTCTTGAATTCTTCTTTCAAAGCAGGGCAAAATGCCCCTTGGTCCCCTACCATCCTCACCAATACACTCTGGTAGGTGAGGGTCCATAGATGACACAAGGTCTCTCCCCTGGCTGCACAGCAGTTGCCTATTTTGCTATCTATCTCTGTAAGCCCCATAAAGGTGGGGTTAGATCTGCCTGGCTTCTCACTGAACCACCAGAACCCAGCAAACACCTAACTTCATACCTTTCCACTCATTACTACAACAGTGGATCATGAGGCCAGTAGGGAAAAAGAAATGCCTGGAAAGATATGGCTGAGGGCCAGGAGTGGTGGTTCACACCTATAATCCCGGCAACTCTGGAGGCTGGAGTAGGAGAAGACAAGGTTGAGGCCAGCCTGGGCAACGTAGTGATTTATCAAGACTGTGTCTCAAGAGCTGACTACACTGTCATGAAGAATACCTTGGATCCCCTTCCACTAAGAATAAGCCAAGGCTTAGCTCCTGGGGGTGGAGTAGGTCCCTTTGGTAGGATATCTTTTTTAAAGTCTAAGACAATTTTTACCATTTCAATATCTTTTCAAAGCACAGCACAGCATGGCTTTTTTTCATTTGTTTGTTTATCTATGTATTTATTTATTTATTGTTTTGAGATAGGATCTTGCTAAGTTGCCTAGGCTGGCCTCAAACTTGTAATTCTCCTGCCTCTCAAGTAGCTGGGATTACAGGAATGTGGCACCACACTCACTAAGCTTGGCTTTTAAAATTATTTTTCCTGATTTTAACTGCAGTACAAAATACCCTGTCTTCTAGCTTAAGTATAGTATGCAAATATTTTTGAAATATGGAATATGGTACTAAAAGAACAGTAATCAGAGGATACCGATTTTATAATGCTCCTTTCAATTTTCCTGAAATTTGTAAAGCCTGATTCTTCTATTAGGAAGTATTTGTTGAAAAGGATTTCTAGGGGCCGGGGATTTAGCTCAGTGGTTTTGCTGCCTAATGTGCAAGGGCAAGGACCTGAGTTCGATCCCTAGTACCAAAAAAAAAAAAAAAAAAGAAAAGGATTTCTATTTTAAATAGAAATTATTTTTAAGTGCCACTTAAATTACCTATCATGTTGTAATTGCCCCCCCAAATCATATAATATAGTTTATACATTTGATATATAAATATAATAAAAGCTATTTTCTTATTTGCCTTATTTTGAATCTGTACAGTATTTGACAGAACTCCTTTGAAAGCTTTTTATTTACTAAGGTACTGTCCAAATTTTCTGTCACTAAGATGATGATCAGAAAGATCTCCACTTGATATTTGACAGAAGACAGTCCAGGCCAAATCTTTAGATGAAGTCAACCCTCCCACCCCTGTATTTCATCCAAATGCAGATTCCTATTGGAGAAACAGGCGCCCCACCACCCAACCCCCTCTACACACACATCTTCTGAAGTCAGTACACAGTACGTAGGTCTGACATTTTTCTATTATCATTTGTTGGGACTTTGATGTGCTTGTGTTCCTTCTACTTATAAAATGAGCCTCTCTGCCAAGGGGAAAGAAGAAGTGATCAGAATATTTCATGACCCAAATGGAAATGCAAACAGGGCAACGTATAACAGGCAGAAGCAGAACCTATCTGGAGAGCTAAGCCTGAGAGGAAAAGGGATGGCATGCATCTCACAGCCTCAGCAAAGGCTTTCTAGATACAGGTGATGGAAGCAAACTGACTGTCAAGAGATTTACTTCATAATGACGCTAGCCATATAGAATAGCCACAGTGCCCCCAGGGCCAGTGGCTGCTGGCCCAAATCTTCAGGGCTCTCAGGCAGGCTGCAAGAATGACAGCCCTGTGCTCCCCAGCAACAATCTCATTCCTATGGGAGGAGGAGGACAGACAACAGGGTTAATGCCACCAGCTATGCCTTCATGCTGCCACTACCAACCTGTCAGTCAAAGAAGGGATAGAAAAGCAGTGGGAATAGAGGGAAATCAGGCGTGATGGGCGGGGGGTGGAGGGGGGCAGAAGGAAGTGGAAGAGAACCTTCATTTATCTTCAGGATCTTTCTGTCATCTTTGGTTAACAGAAGAGAGGAATACAACAAGAAATACAACGGAAGGACTGAGTGACACACTATGTCCTAACTGTGTCTTTTGTACATTTTCCCTAAGTTTGATGTACTCAGATGCCCAGGAAAACATCATTCACTTATCCAAGTTCACACACAAATCACACACACACACACACAAAACACCACATGTATGCACATACATTTACCAGTGTCTTACTTGCGTCTGTTCATCTCTATGCTTAAAACTGAAATGGCAGGGGGGAGGCTGCATTGTGGCCAGTGAGCTGAGTGAGAGACAGATGTTCTGGGACAGCAAGGCAATGTCATTCTCAAAGTCACAATCAATTCTAAATGCTCCCTCGCACTGAGAAGAACCCATATTTCCCCCTACCCACCATTCCCTCTCTGACAAGTAACTCTGCATTGAGGCCACATACAGGTATAGCAATGTGCCACCCTGGGCTCTGGGTGCATTTCAAGCTGTTGCTCGGCACCCAGATCTCCACCACGGTGTGGCAGTGCCAAGGTAAACCACTAGGCTACCAGCAGCTCCTGCAGCTGCCAGCTTTAAAGAAAATTGGGTTTCAAGTCAGAATCGAACCAAGGGACTAAGGGAATACAGAAAGTTCAATGAATAGAGATTTCAAGCTTAGGAAAAAGGAGATGCCAGGGTGGTAGATTCAGGAAATATCCAAATGCCATGATGTTAGGACTGGATCCTCTGGGAGCAACAATTCAGAAGTTGCTGGGAGAGAAGACCAGAAACAGCAGAAAGCACTGGAGGGCACCTAGAGGCAGACTGCTTGGCAGGGCCAGCCTTAACCCTCCAAGGCACCTGGCTCCAGATAGGTGCCCCAGAAATGCCTGATGAGTCAACAAATAAATGTGCAATGATGTGGCTTTCACAGAAAAAGCAGAAGGTGGCAGGAGGAGTTTCATGGCCTTACCGCAGCCAGTGCCTGCCTTTTGGGAGCCTGGCCTGCATGCATTCTTCAGCGTGTTTTCACAACTCTTGTCCTGGGAAAACAGAAGGCAGCGCTCGGGTTCACTGAGCTAGAACAGCATTTCAGTACGAGCAGACCTGGGCCCACTGAAAGAGTTATGCCCTTGGCAGGAACCCCACCCCAAGTTCAGACAGCAAGCACATCTGTGCCTCGTTGATAGTGTAATTACCCACATTAGAGTCTGAGCCAGAAACACCTGTGCATGGCCCAGAATGTCAGCCCAGGGCAACCATTCTGATGGAAGTGATATTAACAGCTCTTATTCAAACTGATCCCTGCAGTGGTGGCCGGTAGTGCAGCTACAGTGAGGCATCTGCATTTCCAGTACAAGTCTATATTTCAGGAGTCTAAAACTCATTCATAGAAACATGCTCAACACTGGACTGAAACCTGTGGAGGAAACTATCATGGGGTAAAGACAATTTAGCTTTGAGAGCTTGGAAAGTATTTCAATTATCCATTCCATGTGCACATTTCCAGCTCTGTGTTATACGAGGACTTACTGCTTTCCTGCCCTTGTCTAGATGATGGAAATAAACTGCCTGAGGATGGAGGATTCATTTCTGAGTTGGCTCATGGGAAATATGATGTCTTAACTTTTACATGTATGGAGGATGCCAAGACTTCTATCATCCAGGGAAGTAAGGCTTGAATGACCACTGTGCATTCTAAGTGTGTACCTTTGTGCTTTGCTCACTGCTGTCTGTCCAAAATGAGGAAGCAAAGAATTCCAGTGCCCACCTGGAGCTTAGGAGGTTACCAACAGCTGGATCTTGCTCATTTTCAACACAGCACCTTTCTCTGATGAAAGGGAGACCAGAAGGCATGCATTTCACTGACAGTGGCTTGAAAAGACTCTGTTATCTTTTATTTTGACACACATGCACACACAGAGAGTGTTATGAAATGCATTCCTATCCTCAGCTAGGCAGGTAAATGTTTAATGGTCTCTAAATCTATTACATTGCCTCAATTTTGAATGTTGAATAACTGTTGTCTGTACAAAAATATGAAGAAGTAGGTCCATAAAAGATTGCTTTAAAAGTAAAAGCAGATTTTATAATTTCTGCTTTTTCTAATAAGTATTGCTTGGGAAGAGGAAGCTCATTATTGTCTTCAGTATCTGTTGATCCTTTCTGCACACACCACAGGAAGTACATTAAGGCACAAATCAAGGCATGCTGCTTCTCTTTTTAAAATTCTTCAGTCTCACACACACACACACACACACACTCACGCACGCACTTCAATGGCTTCTCGCTGGATTTCAAGGAAAATCCACACTCCTTACCATTGCGCAGGTGGCCTACTGCCAGGCCCTCTCTGCTGTGTGCTCCATATCCCAATTATACGGCAGTACCTCGTTCACTAACTTAATTTGTTCCATGGTTCTGGAAAAGATGGCCATGTTTGTGTTCATGCAGAAAGATGGCCATGGTTGTATTAGTCATTCCATGCAGAGTTAGCAAGCAAAAACAAAATTATGCCAAACATTTCGATTTGTGAACTGCAGTGTTCTCAAAAGCACTCACGAACTGAGGTACCACTGTATTTGACTTTTTGTAGTTTCTCAACTACAGCAAGCATTTTTCTTACCTCAGAGATTTTCCATTTATGAACCTCTTTGCCTATAATTCTTTTCTTCCCACATTCAGAATGGCTGGAAAGTGGGCTTCTTTTTCTTCCTCCAGCTTAAATGTCACCTTCCCTGGCTGACCCATCTGAAGTGAGTCCCTTTACCAGTCTCCATCTCAACACCCCGTTAATAATTTCTTTTCTTAAGTTTATCACTTTAATATGCAAATTGTTGTTGCTTTATTTTGTAAGTTTATTATAATACACTGGATTTTTTTCAAACACAGTAAAATTGAGTAGCAGATACAGATTCCCCATAGCCCTCTTTTCACAAATGCATGGCTAATAACTAATCTGTTTTTGTATTTGTCCTTTGTTTGCGCATATAAAAAGGATGCTTCATGAAGGCAGGGAATCTGTCATGGTTGTATTCCCCATCTCTAGCACATAGCAAGTGTCCATGAATATTTGTTGAATAAGTCAAGATTCATAAGATGATGTATTATAAGCTTAAGCTTTGTAGTAAGTATTCTCTTTGTAGCATACATAAAAGTATAATTTTCCTCCTCGGTGTTAATATAATCTCTATTTTCCAGAAAGGAACTAAATTCCCCATACCAAATGGCAGTCTTACAAATTGGAGGGGTAAGGAATTCTGTTCTTTTGCATCTTTTCCCTTCTTACCATCAATAATGGCACCAAATTTCTATGGAACATTTTTATAACTAGCCAAGGTGCTCCTCATATCTTTTGAAGTTCTAGAACCCAAAATTTTACTTGATTGACTTGGAGCTCTGAATACTGACAAAACAAAAAGTAAATTCTTTATTTTAGAAATCTTAGAAAAAGATATGGTATCGATTAATATCCCAAGTGTTACTGATTCTATCAGAACATTAATCCTTCCCTTGAACGTGTCTGGCCCATGACCCCATAGCTAATAAAAACCAAATGGGACTCAGGACAGAGCCTTCTGGTGCCAGAACTAGGACTTCATTCAGTGCACTGTGGCTATCTCTCAGAAGGCAAGATTACTTAAAAAGTAATAGCCTATGATTCTCCAATTAAACTGGTCAAATGCTTGACACTCATGCTTCTGGATGACTGGTTCTAGAAGTTTCTTAAAAGATACAATTCTAGTATTAGAAATGGTAATAGAATTCAGAGAAGCTATAGTCACTAATATTAGCTTACTGTGAAATACTTACCAAATTCTTTTCTCTCTTCCAATTGCTAAAATTTGGTTGGCTGAAAGGCAAATAAAGAAAGGTTTAAATAAAATAGAAGAGCAAGTTGCCTACTTGATAAGCCCTAGCTTCCTCAACTTCTGTAAAAATATAAATACAACCTAGTCACAGAATCCTTGAGACAAGTAAGATAATGCATGCAGAGCACTTAACACAAGGTGTATAAAAGGCTTGATGTTAGCTGTGACTATTGTTGGTATTATTGTTATTAATAGAAATTCAGATGTAAGAGAAGCTCCAGGGAGACAAGAGTTGGGATTTTTTTTTATTATTTATTTTTTATTATTGTTTGGTTGGTTGGTTAGTTCGTTGGTTGGGTTTGGTTTGGTTTTTTTGTTTTGTTTTATTTTGTGCTTTCTATTTCTTTCTTTGAAGAGAGATTGAGATGCTGAAGAGCAAAGAAGCAGTAGAGGCACATAGGGAGGTATTCAGTTGAGTTCAAGAATTCTACTTAAGGGCCAGTGATTTAGCTCAGTGGTTCCGCCACCTACTTTGCAAGTGCAAAGTCCCAAGTTCGATCCCTGGTACCAAAAAAAAAGAATTCTATTTAAATTAGGACCTTCATCCAGCCTCTTGGCTGTTCTGAGGTTACACTGTTTATTATGTAATGTTGTGTTAGCCAGCTTTCCATTACTGTGACAAAATACCTGAGATAAACAACTAAAAGGGGTAAATGTTTATATTGCCACATAGTTTCAGAAGTTTCAGTCTATGGTTAGCTGGCTCTGTTCAGTCTATGGTCTTTTGGGCCTGTGCCAAGGCAGTACATAATAGTGGGAGCACATCCAGTGGAAAGCAACTCACCTCACGGTAGCCAGGAAACAGAGGGACAAAGGCATGTGTCCCAAAATACCCTTCAAGGGCACACCCTCAATTACCTACTTCCTCTAACAACCCCCATCTCCTAAAGTTTCTACCACCTCACAAAAGTGCCAATAACTGGTGACCAAGCCTTCGACATATGAGCTTTGGATGGACATTTAAGGTCCACAAAACTATCCAAAAAAGAAAGATAGCACCAACACTACCTGCTTCACCAGATTGTTAAGGATTCAAATGAGACATATGTGCATAAAAACACTTTGTATTCATTCATAGGAATGTTTGATATTGCTTTCCCACGTGCACAGTTAACTGGCTGTTGTTTCAATCAAGTCAGTGATTCGCAACCCTGGCGGCACATCAGAATCATCTGGAAGCTTTAAAAAAATCCAAATACCCAGCTTCCCAAATGTTCCCAATATTCAGCCAAGATTAAGAAGTGGGAAGTAAAGTGTTTTTTAAACTTCCCTGATGATAAGGAGCTCCTCAGAGCCACTATTCCTACTGAGTCACCCTTCCAGGAGAAAGGGACTAGGAGCTGGTTTGTTCCACAAGGACTCTTATCAGCAGGCAGCAGGAACAGTCTGTTAAATCAGAGCTCTATGGTTGGAATGGATATTGTTTAAAGTCTTCACACTTGAATCATCTCAAAATCACGTGAAACTTGGTAAATCCCTTTGGATTTACTTGGTAAAACGGAAGGCCAATATGTGTTAACCAACTATGTGAACAATAAACAATACAACTGTTAGCTGTTTCTCTTTGAGCAGGAATCAGCAGCAGACACTTTCTAGTTCAGGAAATCTTGACTGATGGGCAAAAAATTTCAACATTATGAAATGTTTCTGAATCGACCAACTTGGAATGCTAAGAAATGCACTGAAAGAAAAATTAGCTCATTTGAGTAGAAATGTTTGTGTGTTGTGACATAAAATAATACTCTGAGCCTTTGGGTGTACAATGGAAATTGACTTCTAGATGAAACAGACATAAATAAATCTTTATTTTTTCCTCCTCTAGAAGAATATATTGCACTTCTATGAAGCATCTGCTATTTACTCTGAGCTTTCATGAGAAAGTTAGACAGATCATGTTTAATGTAAATAATATGTAGACAAGCTACTAGGTCATAGAAAAGTGGTGTAAGAAAAAATAGTTCATCAGCTGCTGATATCCAAATTGCAAAACTCAGCTCAGCTCTCTGTGAAAGAGTAGGTATTTCCATTCCTCACCATGTTGAAGATAATCAAACTCTGCTGGAACCATTGATCAGTGAGTTCCTGAACATTCTAACATTGCCTTTGAAAAGTTGTCTTGTGGAATTCCTTTTCCACTGGAATCACATGCACCTGCCTGGCCTGCATAGTTAACCTTAAATTTTCCTCCTTCCAACTTACACTGTTCGACTCCTGCCCTACTTGTTCCCAGCTTTGAATCATAAATACTGTCAGTGTTTAATGACAACATTTAC